TAGGGAAAGGGACAAGGAGGAGGTGAAGGTCTCATTTGTTCCCTGCACTGTAGCTGTGCGTGGGTGACCGCTCAGCTCACGCTGTGATGGCCAAGCTCATGGGGCTGGTTTAGGGATAGTGGTTGGGATCCATTGGATCATGGATTCTGTTCCTCAGTGGTCCAAGTTATGGAGCAGGTTCTGCAGAAACTGGCAGGGTATTTTTGCTGCTCCCTGGCACTGTGTTGGGATGCTGCCCCTGGACTGCAGTTATTCCATGCGTTTCTGCTCTATGGAAGTGAACGTGGCAGCCTGCAGCCCAGGCAAACATCCACGGCCAAACAGCAAGAAGGAGAGACAACCACAGAGTTAACGGGGACAGAACATGGTCTCTTTTGGCTGTTAAGTCTCTCTGCTTTGCGAGTTGTTCCACGTACATCAGACACGTGGTGCGTGTTTGGGTCCCAGCTGAGAGCGCAGGGAGCTCTGGAGCAGATGTCCCCTGTCAGCATCCTGGCGAACAGCAGCAGGGCACGTCCGAGCAGCTGCTTTCCCCCTGGAAAACAGCTCCGTGGTGACACTTTGCTCCCATAGCAATCTCTCTGAAACACTTCGTGTGGCTGGTCTGCATCCATCAACTGGGTACCAGCTAGAGAAAAACAACAGGATAGTGCCACCTGTTTGCTGTTTTCCCAGGACTTAAGTAAAGTTCAGGCCAGCGGTGACAAAACTGTGCTAAATTCCTCCTCAGCTCATCAGAAGCTGAGGCCTGACAGCTCGGGAAGGTGTGCTTGGTAGGCAGGGAGATGCTAGTGGATATCCCTTCTCTCAAAATCCCACAGCAAGTGAGGAGTCTTCGTTTGGCATCCTGCCAAACATCCAATTTTCTTTTGCTGGAAAGCAGGGAAACTGCCTAAAACAGCAACCGCTTGCGTAATGCAGAGATTTACTGATCCACAGCCCCGCTTCTGGTTTTGATGACGTCTGTGTTGGATGAAGGACAAAAAACAGGAAGAAAGATGAAGGAACCGAAAAGCTAAACCCAAGGGAAGCATGATGGAGTGTCTGGTCACTTAATAAGCCCTGCTGCACTCCCTTCCCTTTGGAGCAGACGTTCCGTGGTGTTTTCAGCCCCTTGTCAGTAATTCCAGCGGGATGGGGATTTTGCTCGTCCTGCTCCCTGGTGATGTATTACTTATTCCCCTTGCAAATTGCCAGTGCACGTGACCTTGTTTATGACTCGTGAGCAATGTCCTTTGGTCACCAATCCTCTCCCTGCCAGGCTCAGAAGCCTTCACAGCTGCTTGTTGCAACACTCGGGGAAGGAGTGACACTGCTCAGGCTGGTGGGGAATGGAGGGGAGAAGGGAAACGGGTGACTTCATGCCAGGAAGAGGCAATCACGTTGCCAAGATCTTCCAGGGTGGCTTGCCAGCCAAATGGCCTCTGCTCCTTCCACTTGAAGGCAAAGCACAAAGCTGGGGCTAAGTCTTTGACTTGCTTCACGCAGCCAGAAGCTCTAAAATCCCCTAGTGCTGTGCCCTGCTGGAATGCTGTTGGGAATCAGGGAGCTTGAGGAACCGGTGACACTTGAAAGTCACTGGTTTGACATTAGGATGAAATTGCGTCCTGCAGTGGGTAAGAAAGAAAGAAAAAAAAGGATTTTTCTTTAATTTTCTGCCCAGTCCTAAATGCCAAGCCAGGGTGTGTGTGCCAGGGCTGTGTGGTGCCCACACATCCCAAGTGCCCGCTCCTGCTGCCTCCCAGCATCTCTTATTCACCTCCAGGTCACTTTAACGTCCTCCCTTTCCAGAGGGTCCATCCTTCTCCTGGTTTTGCTGTCCTGCACCTGCCTCTGAGTCCTCTCCCATTGCTCACCAGGGCTCAGCAACGCCCTGCTCGTTCCTGCCAAGCTCGCTGCTGTCTCGGGGCCTGCCTTAGCATGTCCTTTGCAGAGCTGGCACGGGGAGCTGTTAGCATGATTTTTTTTTTCCTTGGAGCAATTAATTCCCCAGGAGCTTTTCCACTTGGCTGTCTCCAGCCTTGTTCTGGCTCCCCTGCATGACTCCAGCACAAACCCAGCGCGTGTTGCACCAAGTCCACCCATGCCCCAGCGCCCACACTGCTCAGCATCCCGCATTCCCATTGCATTGCTGGTAGAGGAGCCCAAATATGTTGGCAAAGATCTATGGTCCAAGGCTTTTTTTCTGCTTTTGCACCTCAAAAGCTGTTAGAAACCAGGAGAACAGTTAAAAGAATCCCCAAAGCATTACTGATATTCCAGATACTAGAAATCTCAAGATCTAAAGTGGTACAAGAAGGAGTTTTCATGCTTCCCACGCACTATTTTATCGAAATGGTAAGAAAATGGGTCATATAATGACTCCAGCCCTCTCTTACACAGCAGGTTCTCCCTCATATGTTGTGTTCTGCACAAATGGCTTTACCTCTTCCAAGTGTAGCTCCTAAACCTGAGTAAGAAAGTGATAATATATTCACTGCTTCAGGTTTATGAGAAATTTTCCCACCTTCTGGAATATGTCCCATCTCTGGCTCAAAGCAGAATGTGCTGGGGAGCAGCCTGGTATGTAACGAGGTGTGTGTGCAACCAGGGTGCCTTGAGCAGAGCCAGTGAGACAGGACCTGCATCCCAGCTTCTGCTTTGGCTCTGCTGTTGTTTCTGTGCCTGAGCTGCCTCCTCCCATGGCCTTGGGCTTGTAGTTTATCTATAATGGATTAATAACACAGCCTTGGCAAAACTACCCTGAGATTTCACAAGTCTGTGCAATGCTTTAAGCTCCTGGGTGGATGCAGCGTGGAAGTGGGAGCCAGAGCTCCCGTTGTTCCTGCGCTGGCAGGTCCAGGGATCTCTGCTTGTGCCGGATCCCTGCTCCTTCCCAGCCCCCTGATCCTGTACGGAATACAAGAGTGAAGGGGTGAGCCTGGCGCCGCAGGAAAAGATTTCTCTGTCCTACTTCGGAGGTACTTAGAGTACTTTCTGCTCCCATCTGCTATGCATCTTGGCTGAATTTGGATCAGAGGGATATTGGGCTCTCATCCCTTCCCCATTCCATAAGGAACTGCATTTTCTCAGGAGCCAGACACCAGGGTGAAGCCAAGCATTTCATCCCAGATTTACAGAGTCTCTTGGCTTCTCTCCTCTCCCATTTCATGACTGGGCTTTTTCCTCTAGCTCCCCAAGTAATAACTTGGACAGGGCGGATCCTGCACCTTCAGCCTGGTCCCACGCTGCAGGAGGATTGAGTGGAGAGAGGGGCAGAATCTGCCCATAAAAGGAGCGATTTCCACAAAGCCAGATTTGACTGTAGCTCTGGGCTTTTGCCAAGAGCCCATGGGCACGTGGAGCTCAGCCGGGCTCCGTTTACCAGGAGTGTCCCTGCAGTGATTCCATGGGGCAGGGCCTAGATAAGGCCGTCCCGCAGGCATGGAAAGCAGCGCGGAACTGGTGATCCAACCCAGGTGACCTCACGGAGCTGCTATGCGGTGGAGTGGAGCTGGAGAGGCTTGTTAACATTTGTCCCTCTTACTGATCCTGCAACCCACCCAGGTTCTGCGAGCTCGGGAGACTTAGGAATCAGCTTGCTGTTCACAGTAGCCTTTTTTGGCAATATACTTTGATGCAAAAGGTGCTAAGAGAACTCAGTTTTTGAATAGTCAGAGGCTGCTGCTGCTCAGCAAAATTATCACAGAATTCTGAGACCTGGCCTGAGGTAACCAAGTTTTCCTTGCAGATGCCCATGCCCACATGGGTTCACACCACTAACAACACTTTCTTTTCTTGCTAGGTCCCCTGCCCTCTCTTTCTGGTTCAGAGGGAGACCTCCTCTTCTTGCTGGACAGCTCTGGTAGCGTCTCCAACTATGAGTTTTCCAGGGTCAAAGAATTCATATGGGACCTCATCCGACCTTTCACTTTTGGCCCCAATGATGTGCAGACCAGCATCATCCACATCAGCACCACACCGACCATGGAATTCCCTTTTGACCGCTACCTGTCCAGTGGGACTGTGCAACAAGCCATCCGGGACACTCAGCAGCTGATGGGTGACACTAACACGGGCAAAGCTCTCTCCTATGCTAAGGAAAAGTTCTTCAGCAATGAAGCTGGTGCCCGGCCAGATGTGCCTAAGGTCATGGTTTGGGTGACAGATGGTTTCTCCACCGATGACATCTCTGAACCCATGCAGCTCCTGAAGGACATGGGGGTAACGGTCTTCATTGTCAGCACAGGACGGGGGAATTATTTGGAGCTCTCTGCTGCTGCCAGCCAACCTCCTGAGAAGCACCTGCACTTTGTGGATGTTGACGACCTGCCCATCATCACCAAGGAGCTTCGAGATGCCATCTCAGGTACAGGGAGGCTGGGATGTAGTCACTGGGAATTTGCAATACAGCTGGATGCTTGGAGGCTTTGAGGACGTATGGGACAAATATTTCTATTACAATCGGAAGCTTCTGTGACTGACTGAGATATGTTCCCTTCTGCAGCCCTCTAGGTGAGCTGAGCTTGTGTTTGTGTTTAGCGCAAGTAGCACAGGCAGCACGTTGTCTGGATTCCTTTACAAACCACAAGACTTTGAAAGGAACTATGTGGGTCACTGACTTCCCTGCAATTCAAGCCAGGCATGAAAATGCACGAGGCCTCAGCTCCTACCTGCACAGGTTAATTGTTAGCTAAACCAGGGAGTGGTTTAGCTGCAAAAGAAGAGGCTGTTGCCTATGAGAGCAACCTGTTCAGGCCCCAGTGAGCCCAGTTTTCATATTCAGAGTCATTTTTTCCCTGAAATGCTGCCTGTCCACGAGTCCTGTGGAAGCAGAGGACACAAATAGGTTGAACACGCTGTCTAGGGTAGGTCTGACTTCCTCAGCCTACCTTCCTGTGCAGGCACAGTGGCTGGCACAGCACACAGCTGACTCCTGCCTCTTAGAGGCTGGCAGTTGGTGTTCTTTTGCCAAAAGCAATTAAGAACGGTGGTTGCTATCAGCATTAAGGCTGTAGCGAGGAATGTTTCTGTTCCATAAACCCCTTGTTACAACGTGTTCTGCATAGGCCAGATCTATAGCCTGGCTTGGCTAGCGCAGCCCTTGGCAGAAACTCCCAGCCCCGACTTGTCAGGCTGCGGCGTCCAGCTGCTCCCTCTCTCGTGCCTGCACAGTTACGGCCGCTGCTGCGCACGGAGCAAGAAATCTGATTTTCAGCAGTCTTAAGCATCCAGGAAAGGGCCTAACAAGGCCCCAAAGGCACAAACTGGAGTGAGGACAGGCTTTGGGCGCCGGGAGGGATGCCTCATGCTGAGCTGCACGTTGCACTGCGTGTCCTCTCTGCAGTGCCATCGCCCTGGGTGTGTCCGTGGTTGCCAAGCTGGGTTCTTGCCTCAGTCTCCAGATGCCTCTGGATTTGTTTGGAAAGCAGAGTGAGTTACTATGGCTTTGCAGACTTTCCATTCTGGAGCTTCTTGCTCCTTTGAAAATCCTGTTTTAGTTCCCCACTTGGCTTCTGCTGTATGTGAGTTGGTTAAAGCTGACTTTGGTATGTCCAAGTAACCCTTTGCACAGAATCCTCTTAATGTAGCAATTAAATTTTCAATCACTGTCATTTAGAAAATAGCACATGGGGACTGTGTTCTCCTGTGATCATCTACCTCTCTCCTGTATGAGGTTGGGGCAATAGCAGTTCTTCTACTGTATCAGGTGCTGCATAGACACCTGATAAGTGCCAGATTTTTTTTTTTTTAGTGTTTCTGTTGTTTCAACTTCTAGTGTATCCTGCATCCAGGTAGTATAAAATAGCCTAAGAAATGAGAAACAGCTGTGAATCCTTGCAGCAAAAGATCAGCTTAAAGGTCATAAGACCTGAAGAAGTAACAAATAGTTGTACTTGAGGGCAGAGTTCTCCAAAACCACCCCGTTTAAAACTTTCTAGCCTGGGATTTTAATGGAAGGTGAGATTCTCACATTAATCTGGAGGCTGGTGCTTTAAGCAAAACACCAGATATTGATACCATCACATGCCTTAGCCTTAATAATGCCATATATTATCACCCTTCCCTGCCTGGAGGAGGAATTCCCCATTATCACCCTTTTGCTTGCACCCCTAGGAAGTTAGGGACAAATGGGATCCTTGGCAGGGCAAGAATCAGGCCTTTCCAAGTCTGGAATGGCCCAGACTGGTTTAATTATCACTGCTATCTTATCACAATCTCTCTCAGCAAAACTCCACTGTGTAAAAGCGTTTTTGTAGATGCACAAAGGAGCCTTGTTAAGAAATGAGCAGTTTCCCTCCCTCCATCCCCTGTGAGGAAGGGTGTGTGTTCATCCCCACTCCATAGACGTGTCCACACAGCGGTCCCTGGCCACAGAGCCCTTATTGTCTCAGGTAGACCAAGAACCCGCCATGCAACGCTTTGAACCCCGCCAAGAACACACCATGAAGGAGTTTGAACTCTGCCCCTGTATCTTTTATTAGGTGTAGAGGCATTTATATAGGGGCTGCTCAGTCAAGAAGTGTTTTGTTTGCCCTCAAAGAGATCTGAGCAGGCAAATAACCAAACGAGCTGTTACAGCTAAGTCTGAGCCAGCATGGAAGCCACTACTAGGACATGGTGACAAAAGGGAAGTTCCTTAACTTTCCAAATTGCAACCCCGGCCACTATAGGTTCTTCTGAGGCCAAGAAATGGGATGTCTCTGCCTCAGTTCGCTGTTTTGAGAATGTGGTGGGTGCTGGAATGGAGAAGTTGAGTCTCCGAGATGGCAGCACAGTAACACAACTGCACAGAAAGGAAAAAGGCAGGGACTGGGGATGGATTTTCTCTTTTGTGCCTGATGCTGGCCACGGCCACAGCTTATTGCCCATCTATTTTCTTATTTATTCCGTTCCAGCTCCTTTATATGGTAAAGGCATCTGCAGCAGGACAACCAGGAGCAGAGCGGGTGGTTGAGGCCTGTGTGCAGCAGGTCCCTCAAGGCGCTTCACCCTGACACTTTAACTGGCCTGATTTATTCACAGTGTCTGTGGGTTGTGCCTCCAAGGGGATTTTTTCCATTCCTGGGCTCCTTGGCACACAGGCCGGTTCCCCGTTGCCGGGTCCTTCGTGACGTGTCCACCAGGAGCTGCTCGCGGTACCTCAGGCTCCATGGCGGCCTCCACCCTCCCTCTCCTCCACACACAGCAGGGTGGAGGGCCCCGGCCGCGTGTGGAGCTGGGCACGGAGAAGGGGAATGTCCCTGCCTGCCTGGGAGAGCCAAAGAACAGCTTAGAGGAAAAAACGAGGCCGTTCCACTTGATTGAGGGAAGTCGGCAGGGAGGCCAGTAGCGCAGAGGAGCGCGGGTCTTCCCCCGCTCAAGGACAAGCCTGAGAGCGTTTGGTCATTCTGCTGTAGGTCTGGGCAGATTTACGTTCTTTGGTTTGCCCCTGGGTGATGGGTAGCTACTGAGAGCTACTTACTGCACCCTAAAGTAATTAATCTTGAGCTAGACGGCAATCGGGAGGTGTTAGAAGTGATGCTATGCAGAGCAAAGGCACTTCTGTAGGGCTTTTGCATGCTTTTAAACACTGTCAGCAAATAGTCTCTTAATGTCTTCATTTGCCACTTCCACTGAGCTGGAACAAAGCCCTTTGGAAGGGCAGGGAAGAGGGGAATCTCACCCAAGATGGGCTCCAATGACCAAATGTGGCCAAAGAGTAAAGTCATAGAGGAAGCTGGGGAACTGCAGGACTTCAGTGTCCACAGATGACATTTGCGGTCTGAAATACAAAGAGAGCATCGGTCTTGATGACAAGCTTCAATACAGGGAGAGGCAAGACAGCACAAGAATGTCTCTGAACATTGAATGTCATGGAACAATGGGGCTCTGTGACACAAAGGGGCTCTGTGACCCTCTGTGGAGGATGACTTCAGCTGGGATGAATGCAGCACGCGGAGCAGTGCTGGCCTGCACCCAGTTGTTGCTTCTTCCTGCATTAAGGCAAAGAGCAAACGTGTCCTTCCCACTCTGGGCTACTTCGCGTGGTCAATAAAATGTTTTGTTTGGTTTGGCTAGGAGATGGTTTCCACTCGCATCTTGGGGCGAGCTGTCCCCAAGGATTTAGGCACCTGGACACTGACTTCTGTCAGAGTAGCAAGGTTCATTCATCTGGAGGTGGTAGGAAGGGGGAAGAAGGAAAATCACTTATCTCCCAAGCAGCTTCTGCAGCTGAGGCTGCAGCAGGCAGTGGCAGTGACTTGCTGAGTGTAGGAAAGTGCCTGTCTGGCCAAAAACAGTAGCTCCCACAACTGTGGGGCAGTGGTGGCTGCCCAGAACCTGCTGGATGCTCCAGAGTTGTTCATGGCTGCCACAGGGTAGGCTTGGATTGCCTGTGCAAGGACCCAGCTGCACTTAGGTGATTTTAGCTGCTATCTCTGTTGATATGGGCAGTTGCACCCAGAAGGGCCTGTCTTTCGGATGTGCTTGTGTTGTGCGTGTAAATGTCTGTAGTGATTTCTTGCCACTTCTCCCCCAGATGCCATCCAAGCCAATCGGCTTCGCGCAGTGGATGTCACCTCAAGCAGCTTCCGTCTGGTGTGGCCCAAAGTCCTCTCCCAAGAAACTGGCTACTACACCCTGGAATATTCCCCAATAGATGATCCATCAAGAAAGAGGACAAAGCAAGTGCCTGGGGCTCACACTACCCTTGTGCTGAGCGATCTTCCACCAGAAACCACTTACCAGGTGGCCCTCATTCCCGAATCCAACGTGCACTACATCCCTCCCCAGACAACAAGGGTTACGACGCTGGCAGGTAAAACGTGCCCAGCCCTGAGCAGGCGGGAGGGCACCACAGAATTGAGCACTGCGGATAGCAAGCAGCCAGGACTGCACCCCACTCCCTCATGATGTGACTGGGACAGGTAGATGGATCCATGCAGATGCTTATGATCAGGACAGAATGCAGCAAGTAGGGAGCATCTTTGTGCTGGTAACCCCCCGGCGCAATTTCCTTAGGTTCTCTGGACTGCCCAGAAAAGTGTGTCAGGTCTCATGCCCATAAAATGCCCTTCAAGCCTTAAAATCTCGATGTATTGGGGAAAGCAGAGCCCAGAGCTCTTACTGCCTCAGTATGATGGTCGAGCAGCAGCAGTGTTGCACTGCATGGGTTACTGATGGGGAGAGTTTTTACTCCCATAGCCTGAACAGGTTTTATGGGAACTAGAGATTGTTGTTTCCTGCTCAAACAAGCACATGCTTCTCCAGGCCCATGTATCCACTGCTGGGAAATCCCTCTGCAAGAGCAGGTAACACTTAGAGCAAGAGCTGGCCCCTGTAAGCAGACTAGTCATTTGAGCAAGAAAAATAACTCAGACTTACATTGGATGGCAACATTTAAAAAAAAAATAGTTATACATCTAAAAGAAGAGGGGACTGACAATGCCAAGATCAATTTGCACAAGTTGCAGTGCATCAGCTAATCTTTTGGCACACAGGAACACATCTGGCTAAGTAGTTTTGCCGCTCTGTGCTCACTGTCTCCACTCAGTGGATGGAGAAACCATTTTCTTAGAGCTGAGCAGGGTTGTGCTGACATAGATGACCACAAACATCTAGTTGCTGAATAGATTTTATTCCACCTCCTAGAAGACAAATAGAGTGCAAGGCAACTATAGTCTTCTGAGAGCATTCTGAGGCCATGAATTACACACTCATTTGCGTGTTTTTATGCTGTTTGCAGAGGAGATCAGTCCAGCTCAGGTTCTCATCTCGGAGTCCAAGCCACACAGCTTCCACGTTAGCTGGGCTCCCACCCCGGACAGCGTGACGGGTTATCAGATCCTGTACGGGCCGCTGCCTGGGAACTGGGTGAAGCTGCTGGAGGTGGATGGCACACAAAACAGCACCGTGGTGGAGAACCTGGCACCCAACAGCACCTATCTCGTGACAGTGACTGCCATCTACAAATCGGGAAAGGAGAAATCCCTGTCCGCTAAAGCCTGCACTCAGGAAGGTGAGCGAGCAGCATCCTCTGCTGATGGGTCACTGCATGGCCACAGAAAGCCTCTAAAGTGTGCCCATCTCTGCACTGCTGATTCAGAGGTCCCTAGATTTCCCTAAAAAACTGCCCTTTCCCTTCTCTCTTTTTAGTTTCTGTGCTTTGGTGTGATCTAGCATCGTGGGGGTAGAAGTCTCATCAGCAGAAGCTTCTACTCTGAAAAGCTATTTGTAAAAGTACTTCAGGAGGCAAATTCCAGCTTTAACCAGGACTCAAGAACAAAGAGTGCTGGGGTTGAACACAGCTGCCTAGGATCTGAGAGGCAGCCAAACAGAGCCAACATTTGGTGCTGGTACCAGCACAAAGTTACGGACTAATTAAGAGCATCCTGAGCTCCTCCAGTATGGAGATATGAAGAGATGATTGTTGGGAGGGACAGTTCTATACACATGGCTCCAGTAACGTGGCTCTTCTCCCTTCTCTAGAGGGCTTCAAGGTGAGGCACCTTCGCTTTGAGAACATGGGCCCCAACACCGTGAAGGCCTCCTGGGACTCTGCCGACGGGAAGGTCCTCGGTTACCGAGTGAGGTGCCGGCGGCAGACCGGCCCTTCCTCCCTCGTGAGCGTTTCGCCGCAGACCCGCAGCGTTCTCCTCACCGACCTGCCTTCGGGCACCACCAGCAAAGTCTGCGTGAAGCCCGTCTACAAGAACCAGCCGGGCAAGGGGCTGTGCCGCACGCTGCTCATGCAGCCAGGTGAGCTGGGGGCAAAGCGGGTCCATGTGCTAGGGACAGCTGTCCCCAAGGGGACAGAGCTGCTGGAGACTCAATGCAGCCCTCAGGGCTGAAATGTTCTGTGCTCAGGAGCTAAATTCTCAGGATAGCTTCACCACAGCTATCCACCCGAGAGGGAATGTTCAAAACTGGACTGCTTTCCCCATTTCTGAGAGAAACGCTCCTCCTGGTGGAATTACGTTTGCAGACAAGAACAAAAGTATCTGTTGGAGACGGTCTTGCAAACACTTTGGGATAACAAGATAGGGGAGACTTAAAAACTGGCCTGGGCATTAGAAGCGGTTTGCAGACAAGAGCAAAAGTATCTGTTGGAGACTGTCTTGCAAACACTTTTGGGTAACAAGATAGGGGAGACTCTTAAAAACTGGCCTGGGCATTAGAAGCTCTGGTTAGAATTCTCTTGAACTCTGCTCTGCACTTTTCACCTTGGGAGGCATTTCTCAGGCTAAATACCAACCACAGGGAGTAAGACACAAAGCACCTGCCTTCCTCCTTCCACTAGCCACAAGCCACTTACTGTGATATTGCACAAAGATGCCCGATAGGCCGAAGGGAGAGCTGAAAAGCAGCTGTGGGGCAGTGCAGACCCAATAAGAGGCCAGAGCACTGGGGAAAAGGAGGACAAGGAGGGGATCTCTGACTTGGTCCCATCTGGAGAGCAGGCAGACTAGCTGATGTTGTACTTTTTGTGTTCTTTCCAGCTACAGAAGCCCAAGGATATAAGCACAGGGCATGACAGGCACTGGAGTGAACTGATCCCCCACGGGGCAAGGGGAAAAGCTTGGACAAGAAGGAGGGATCTGGGGAGGAAGCTGGAAACCTCACGGATCATCTCCCGGCCCGCACCGTGGATGGAGTTGAATCAACTGTGGGTGGTTGTGGAGCCTGAGGGCTGTCCTTGTAGTGAAGCTCACCCAAAAGATCAAGGTTTGCCTTGGCTGGATTGAACAAGTAACCTGACTGCTAGATCCCAAATCTGTACCCTCTCTTATGTAACTATGCCTGACAAATAGCAAAGAAAAGGCAGAGGGATGAATCCTCATTATTGTATGCTTGCTTCCTGTTCTCTATTTATTAAATGTTGATACAATTTTATTTTTTCAGCCTAGGAGCATATTCAAGATTCGATAGTTTATTGCACTAGCCTTTTATTCTGGGCACTTGCATTAAGTGAAAGGATACAAGTAGCCAAATCCATTCCTACTGTCAAGAACCACCACATTGATGTACTTAACAAGGAGCAGCTTTCCTCTGGCTCATCAGTATCATCCCGTAGGCAACCCCAATTAGCCACCCCAGAAGAATGGCCATTTCCAGAGTGGAAGAGAAAAGCATTAGAAGAAAGAAGAATAACCAAATACAAAAATGGACGGTGCATGGAGATCAAGCCCAAACCAAGGGATTTCAGAGAAGCGGACTAAACGAGGTCGTTAACCTCTTGATGTTTGGCCTGAAGATGGGGTGGCAGCCTGGGGGGACAGTGTCTGCCCTCTGTATCCTTGAGGTTTTTCAATACTGTTCCATTCCCCCTCTCTGCTGCAGTTCAAAGTATTCAGACCCCCCAAGTCATCTGCCTTGGGTTATGGTGGCATCAGTGGACATATGTTTTCTCTCTGCTTGCTCTATTTTAAGTTTTTTGCTTATTTGTCTTACATGTGGAGCTTTTTTTTTTTTAAAAAAAAAAGCTGTGCTGTACATTTGGAGAGGCCCTATGCAATGTCACTTCATCCTGCAAACCCTCCGTAAGTGCTTACAGGTTATTTAAATCAGTTCATTTTGGAGCGGGGAGATACTTTGTCACTGACCTTGTCTCCCTTGGGCTAAACTTGGCCTGTGTAAAGCTAGGGAGTATTGGCCTTGGGCTGTCTCCTTGTGCAGAGGATGGATGGGAGGGAGGTGAGTCACCCGTTAGCTCAATGAGGAGTTTGTGCAGGAATTGTGTTCTCCTCTGGAATGTGGCTTGGTGACTGATCAATCTGAAGAGCAGCTACAGTGAGGGAAAGACAGAACCTCTAGAATCTCTCCTGATCTCAACATTGTCCTGTTCCTCTTGCTGTAGAACAGAGATCATTTAATTCTGCAAAACTCCCTGCATAGTTTACTATTCAGTAACATTCCCTTCCCCACATTTTAATGCATCCTTTTGAAGAAGTCATTAAATATACAACACAAGAGCGATTGAGTTGGAATGATTACTTTGTTCTTGTTAGCTGTAAGGACAAATCTTTTAAGTGTAGCTAAGGACAGGTATGGATTAAAAAGCTGCTATTCATCTCAATTTTTTCAGTCAAAATGACTGAAAAAATAGGCATTCCACCCATGACTTCATAGTCTGAATTACATGAAACTTAATTAATAAATAATTTAGAAATACATCAGTCCTGTCTTACTAATAGTATTCATCTCAATTTTAAATGACTGAAAAAAATAGGCATTCTACCCATGACTTCATAGTCTGAATTATACAAAACAATTAATAAATAATTTAGAAATACATCAGTCCTGCCTTACTAATACCTTGTTTTATGAGGAGCCAAAAAAGTAAATGTCCCTTAAATCTTGGTTGAAGTAGTAGTACTCACAGAAATGTGGCCCTGCTAAGGTAGACAATTAAGTAAAACAGAACTCATTTTAAACTAAAAACCTAATGATTTTTAAAGCTATTCAGGCACTGAATTAGTGGGTGTGATACCCACACACCTTTATAGGAGGAGAGCACAAGTTGTCAGGGCTTTAATAAGAGCTGAATGCTGCCTATGGGGACTCTGAAGAGCTTTGTAAGTTATTCCCAAGTTTTCTGTATGGTCCTTGCACCTTCTAAGGCATGTGGGCTATTTTTAAAGAACTGATTATATTAATATTAAAGATGAAAGTCTTTAATATTAAAGATATTAAATATTAATATTAAAATTGATTATATGGAACCGCTAGTGTGATCAGTTTGTGTTCTTTGGCAATGCAAAATGCCTTTTATTTCTTGCATCAACAGCACAACCAAGTGCAACCACAACTAGGTTGCATTAATGGCTCAAGGCAGTTGTAGGGAGGGGTGGGAAGGGGCAGACACCCATTTCAGGAACTCAGGTCAGTGTTTTGGAGGAAACAAGAAAGCATAAAGGAAGAAAAGTCTGTCACGGGCCAGCTTTTGAACACAGGAGCTGATGGGGTGGCATTCTACAAATCATATCACTCCAGGCTGCAGCATTTTATAGGTGAGCTTTATCTATATTTCTGACTCTTTATACAGCTGCTACAGGTAATTTTCCTTTGGCTTTATTTATATTTTTTCCACAACACAAACAATTAGGAACAGTTTTCATGAAGTAAAATATTCCTCTGCATAAAGCATAAGCACACAGGGTGTTGTGGCTGTTGTTCTGTTTTCTTCCCCTTGTCCTTAGAAAGGTAAATGAACGATCTGCTAGTTTGATAACAAGGGGCCAATTTTGGCAAAAAACCTAAAGGGTTTTTCAAGCCTGGATTTGGCCCATTTAGCTGCTTATGGTGGGTTGGTTGTTTGTTTCCTTTGAAGCGTTCAGTGCGTGAACCTTTCTGCATTATAAGGCTGAAATAGCTGACAATGTCTTCTCCAAGCACAGGTTAATAAAATCTTTCATTAATGTGTGGTGTCACTAGGGGTCCAACTGGGTGGCTTTCTAATGCTCTTGGAGTTCCTTGGGTGCTGACTTCAGTTCCTGTCTGCAGTTACACGTAGCCTGCAAGCCTTGGCTGCCTCTGAGTGATTCCTTGTTCCTGTGGGCTTCATAATGGAACTGGAGCTTCTCATTTCATACCTGCAAAACAAAAGCACTGACACAGAGCAATAACAGCAGGAACAGCTATGACTACACACAAGAAGACACTTTAGAACCATGATATTTCTGACCTTCCCTCACAGAGCTGCTTCTCTACTCTCATCCACACAGTTTGAAGTTCAGGAAAAAAATAGCATTACTGTAATATTTCTCACTCTCTTCCTAGTGAAATGCTAGTAAATCCTCATAAAATTAATATTAAAATGCTGGGTGCTTAGGCTGTTAGGGCAATTTGTCTTATAAAAGACTCTTCCTACCTTCCATTAATGTCCTGAGCTGCTGGAAAGGATGTGGTAGCAGGTGGCAGACTGTAAGGGCTCCAGGAGGAACTGAGTATCCCCCCTGCATTCATCCGAGTTGGAATGTGTGATCTGGCAGCCAAGGAGCCCAGTTTGTGCGAGCGAGAGCGTGACTGTCTGGTTGATGCCGTTGTCTTTCTGCTGCACCTGAATCTGCCAAAGTTTGGCAGAGGTTGGGCAGAATTTGGCCTCCAGGTGGATTTGGGAGACTGAGAGCGAGACCTTTGCCAGCAGCTTTTTTTGGAAGCAGGAGAAAGGGAGCGGGATTGGTAATTCCTTGCACGCTTAACATACGGAGAGCTCCCTTGGTCTAAGAAAGAAGCGGCTCTTTCATGAGAGCAAGTTCGCACTGGGACCTTTGAGTGTGAGAGAGACTTGACTCCAATTACATGTGGAACTCCAAGTTTTGCAGGAAATGACTTGGGAAGCAGCAAATTGTTTTCACTTGCGGCTTCGCTTCCCAGAAGCCCAGCCCCATGGCTGACTGCAGATGCAGAGAAGATTGGGAGACCTAAATTGGTTAGTGCTGGGTATTGGCCCAAAGACGCTACGAGATGATTTGGCTTCAGAAACTGCTCTGCCTCTGCAAGCTGCTTGTTCCCAGGACGCGGCTCTGCGTAGGCTGCATGATAAATCTGTTGCCATCCAGGTCTAAGAGCACTTGAGCTGTCTGTGGTGTCTGGGTCCGCGCCGTTTCGATCCGTGTCAAAATTCTGACTTGAGGCAAAACCGTCCACCCGCACATGAAGCTTCTGCAGACTTTCTTCCAACCCATCTATGCTGGGAGACAAGCTGGTTTCTAGACAAGAAAACGTGTTTATTTACAAAGATAGTCATATAAGTCAGCCTTACTAATAACATCCCCAGGGAGCCCTCCAATAACAGACTGTACTGTGAAAATGGTCTAAGAAAAACACAGTAGATGGGG